TATATAGTTTTATTTAAAATTATTTAAAACTTTTTCACATTTATTTATTTTGAGTATGATTCTGTGTGTGTGTGTGTGTGTGTGTGTGGTGTGTGTATGTGTGTGTGTGTGTGCACAAAGGCATGTGTGTACCATGACATGTGTGCAGGTCAGAAGACAACTTGTAGGAGTAGGTTTTCCCATTTCACAATATGAGTTCTGGTGATTTATCTCAAGTTATCTGACTTGGCAAAAATCACCTTTACCCACTGAATCATCTCACAGGCCCACAAATAATATTTTTAAAGAAATAAATTATTGCGACTGATGCAATAGTTCTACAGAGTAACCAAACACTTTCTTAATGGATTTAAGGCACATTTTACAAGAGGGAACCTATACCTGCAGTTATCGGGCCAAGAACCTGCAGCTACGTAGGTCAAGAAACTAAGAATGAACCTACTGTTCTTATTCTGTTAAAAGGACATAGTATCAAACCTGCTCTGTAGGAGAGGAAGTGCCAGGCCTGAGCACAGGCTACACTAAGAGAACACAGCTTCCACTGTGAGAGCTCAGCCCGTGCTTCCACAAAATAGACAACCTACGATCTGCCCAGATGAGGGGATCCTGCCCGGATGAAGGGATCTATCAGGAAGCAACACACCAACTTCTGGGACACTGGGAGCAGGGGGAGAGGTATATAAGGCTTGCACTTCCTAGCAATAAATGAGTCTGCAGCACCTTGCTTAGTGCCTGCTCTCACCCGACTCCTGAATTCTGTGTGTTGATTCCATGCCACTCACCCCCACCTTGGCCAGAACCCTCATTCCCTGCAGTCCCTCATGGGCTGGACCCAGGAAACCTGCAACACTGCTCGTAGTGACTTGTTATGCCCATAGGTTAGTGCATCTTTCAACTCTCATTAGAGAAGTTTCTTTTAGCAGTAGATGGTGATTATCACAGAGTCCAAAACATGTTGAGATGCAGACAACAAGAGACTGCCAAGTATTTAGTCCTAAATAGCATACATATAACATATCCCTTATCCAAAGCCTCTGGGGCCTTTGCAAAAGAAGTAGAAAGATTGTAAGAGACAGAAGTTGCTGATGAATAGAAACAGTGTTTTCCAGACAAAATATGGCAGCTGCAAATATAAACTCACAGAGGTTGTGGCATCATGCACAAGACCTCCTCAAGCCAAGCCAGGCAAAATTCAAGCATGGATGGGGAGAGGTGGGCAAGAATCCACAACCTTAGCTGAGGAACTCTTGGCAAGTTATAGCTGTGGGAAAGGGAGAATCAATTTTCTTTAAGGTGTGACTTCCAACAGGTTATGACTCCTAGTGGGCTAACCACACTCCAGGGGATGGACCCAAACGTGAGAGCATTTGGAGAACACAGATTGGACTCAAGGAGATTAAACAAAAAGGGACATAAAATTCAGGGGTCATTGAGATGGGGGAGAATCTGAGAAGAGATGGAGGATGGGGTTGAATATGATCAAAATGCATTACATGAACTACTCAAAGAACTTAAAAAAATATTTTAATAAAAGAAATAAAATATTGCAAAATAAATAGCTACTTCAGTGAGGCTTTCAGAGTAATATTACTTTTATCTCTATTTAGCCATTGGATTTAAAAATAAATAAAATATCTAAAGTTATGCATGTTTAATGTTAAGTACTTTAAAATGTTTTGCTTTGTTTTATTGTTGTTGTTGTTAGGGGTTCTGCTGTTTTCTTCTTTTGTTTTGTTTGTGAGATGGGGTCTCCTGTAGCCCCTGCTGTCTTGGAACTTGCTATGTGTATCAGGCTGGCCTTGAACTCACAGAGATCTGCCTGTCTCTGTCCTTCAAGTGCTGGAGTTACAGGTGTGCGCCACCACACCTAGCTTGAGAAAAAAGTGGTTTTTTTTGCAAGGAAGAGCACAAACAAAGCCCCCCACTACCATGAATTATGCAGTCACATTTCCCACGTTTAATGAACTCATAGATGTCAGCACATCCAGAGTACAATGGATAAATCTCACCCTGGGAAAATCACCCACGTTATCATGGTATCTCTCTTGCCTGGTAAATATTAATGTCAAATACTTTCCATAAAAACAATGTGTTATATATTAACTCAGCAATTCATTATAGCGAATTGTCACAGTGCAAAAATCTTACTGGATGAAATTATCTGAAATTAGTTGTTTGAAATATTTCAATTGTTACTGTCTTAGGACTTTCTGATTCAAATACTTGTGTCCTTTTTTCCATATGATTCTCTGGGGACAGGAATTTGATGGAGTTCTAGTCCAGGAGAGGAAAAGGGTTTTATTTTTATCCCCGCAGCCCATCCAAGCCGGGGTTATCCTGCATTATCACTGAAATGCCAGAATTAAAATGAATTGCTCTGAACAGCTTCAGATGAAACAATTCTGCAATGACATCATCCAAACTATGTGCACTCATTTCGTGCACTCCAAGTTTCCCCTTGTTTCTGACACCATTTTGTTTGTCATGACCAAATAGCCTGTCAGATAGCCCATATTGATTCTTTCTTTGTTTACACTCCTCCGTGATGGTAAAATGGATACTAGACTTAACTGATTTTATTTCTGTTAGCTTGGCATTCAAAGTCCTTTTGTTCTACTTCTTTCCCAAAAAACTTGCAGGACTTTTTTCACAGTCAAGAATCTGAAGCTCAATTGGCTTTAGTCCACAGAAATAAAACTAAACAAATGAACAAATTGTGCATACTCATTGAGGTTGTCACCAGTGATACTATACTGAAATAAATTTGACAGATTATTTCTTGCCATTTTTTTAAGACAGGGTCTCCCTGTAGACTCAGCTGGCCTGGAAATCACTATATAGACCAGGATGGCCTTGGTCTCTCAGATATCCTTCTACCTCAGCCTCCTGAGGGCTGAGATTAAAGGTGGCCACCACCATGGCCAGCTTTATTTTCTTGCTTTTGCAATTGGATATGTTGGGGCTGGAAAGAAGGCTCAGTTGGTAAGAGCATATACTGCTTGTCCAGAGGACTCAAGTTCAGTTCCCAGCACCGACAAAGGGTAGCTCACAATGCCCATAACTTCAGTTCCTGGAGATCCAATGATTCTGGCCTTCAAAAGCACTCACACTCATGTGTACATACCCTTTATTTTCTTGCTTTTGCAATTGGATATGTTGGGGCTGGAAAGAAGGCTCAGTTGGTAAGAGCATATGCTGCTTGTCCAGAGGACTCAAGTTCAGTTCCCAGCACCGACAAAGGGTAGCTCACAATGCCCATAACTTCAGCTCCTGGAGATCCAATGATTCTGGCCTTCAAAAGTACTCACACTCATGTGTACATACACAAACACAAACCCACACATACACATAATTTTAAAAGCTTGAGCATGCCAAAATTAAAGCAGGTGCTAGCACAATCAGCATGTTTCATCAAACATAAATTAATAGACAGCTCCACAAATTAAGTCAGACATTATAAGGCTCCTAAAGTAAGGAAGTATTGCAGGATACTAAATCCATTATCTATTTTAAAAACACATTCAGACTGCTTATGTATTTATGCCAACATCATGTCACATTTCCTGTAAGAGGTAACACCTTTCCCTTAATTTCTGAGATTTTCTCCAGTGTATTTAATGACCTGTTTCTTTTTTCCCTTCCTCCTAATTTTTAGAGCTACCACAAAAAGACAAAATTTGCTTTTACTTTTACTTTCTACTGTCATAGATCTAAAAACAGACCAAGGTGACAAGGTACCTTGCAGTTGGTTTGCTGAACTAGGATGCACTGTGCGATCATGCCTTGATTTTCAATGAGGTGTGGAGACATCCTGTAGTTAGACACCTGCTGGCAATCACCCACAGCCTTCCCTACTGCACCTCAGGGTCCTATCTCCTGGCATGCCTGTCAGAACAGGCATTTGGGGAACAGTGAAGAAGAGACCCTCACTGGAAAGAGTGACAGATGCAGGGGAGGGTGCAGTCTGGGCTAGTCTTGCCTTGTCGGAAAGGCAGTGTTTTTAGCATGACCATAAGCTCCTAATCACATGTCTTCATGATCTCCGCCAACTGAGGCAGATTGCTACCACCTACCTGGGACAAGATAGTTGCAGTTTCATCCTCTCAAGCAGCCTTTCATAAAGGTCTGATACTTAGAGCTGAAGAATCACCTGATGTAACCTTCATGTTAGGGAAATACACTGAGATTGCATTTATATTTTGAATTCATTAGACTATTTTTTACAAATCTACAGCTTCTGGTAGTGGAAGCTTTCAGAAAGGATGATACTGGGATTCTGGCTAGGTCTACTAAATGCATTCTAAAATAACAACTTTTTCTCCTATAATAGTGCCACATTATGTCTGGCTATTTTTATCATACAATACTAACACATCAAGTTTAAAGGATGATACGGTTATTTTTTTTTTAATACCATGATTTCCCAAGGGCCTTATCTTCATTTTTCCCTTTTTGACATTAAAACAATTTTAGAAAGGAAAATATGATAAATGCAAAGAATAAACATAAAAATGCAAAAAGAAAGACAACCAGTAAACCATACAAAACACTCTGGAAAGGGGCAGAAAGACTGTAAGAGCCAGAGATTCTGCATAAATAAAAGGAAACCATGTTTTCCAGACAGAAAAGGGAGGGCACTTACACATACAAACCCACAGCACTTGTTACACAAGTCAGGCCAAAACCCAGAATGAGAAGGGAGACAGGCCAGAAGCCCCAGATCTACATGAGGAACTATTGATACCAGATGGCTGCTGGGAGAGGGAGAACCAATTTTCTTTAAAGGTGTGATGCCATTTAGGTTGACCAGACTCCAGGGGATGGAACTTTACCCATGAAGATTGCAGAAACACAAATTAGACCCAATAGACCTTAAAAATAGAAGACATTTATGTGCAGGGAGGTAGAGAGGTGTGGGAGGATTTGAGATGGGTCTAAATATGATCAAAATGCATGGTATGTGATTCACAAACAATCGATAAAGATAATATGCTTAAAATTACTCTGGGGATGTTTTCATACATATTTGTGTCTCTGTGCATACTTTTTTAAAAATAGAGATTGGGGCATCAAGTACAATTCTGCTTTCATCATTTAGGATTAGATAGTCAGTATTTTGTCATATCAAATTCTATCTCATAGCATTTTGAAAAACTTCTTAGTATTCCATTAAATATAATACATTATTTGACACTGTCCATTACACTTATATTGTTCCTGATCTTCCACTATTACAAATATAGCTTGATGAATATTACCTTTTTCTTTGTGCAGTTTAGAATAAGTTGCTGTGTATAAATGGTAAGTTAAAAGTCACACTCAGTTTTATTTTCAACAACTTTACATCTTGTGCATGTTCTACTCAGGGATTTTTATTTGTTGTTGATATGAGAAACGTTTAATAAATGGAACTCTTTCAGGCACTGAGTACTGAGCTTAGACCCTTCTCTTTTTGAAAGATGCAAACTCAGTCCAATTTGGAAGGTGGCTAATCACTCATATAATGATATTTATCAAATACTAGGGAAGTAATATAATGCAATATAAGGACATTTATCAGAGAGAACTCACCTATGCAAGGCACAAGATCCCAGAAGTACTGATACTAATCAAGCAGATACTGAAGGAAAATGGGGATTTGTTTACGTGAGAGAGGGCCACAGAGTAAACATTCCAGGGAGAAGGAGCTGTCCTATGTTTGCTGAGTTCTAAGCAGATTTATATCAGGAAGGGACAAAAATATGAACTGAAAAGTTCAAATTTCCCTGGAGCTCAGGAACCTGGAGGATTGTGGGGAAATTTCACTCATTTATGTAAATAGAAACTGCATTTTGAATATATTTTGAGTATATTTGAAGCCTATTTGATTTTGTGTTTTTATTTTTTGACTATTGATGGGATTGAGTCTTCTTATATATTATCTGCTATCATTCTACATCCATATGTGATCAATTTGAAATTTAAATAATTTTCATTTAATGTTTTTATTTTTGATGGCCTTTTCTCAGAGCTTATAAGTATTTATCTCTGCATTGTAATGTTGGTTTACACCCTTTTGCCATAGGGAAGATTTACTTCATGTGGAAATATCTATCAGACATATCCGTTATGGTTTATGACTAAGTGCTGTGCTTAAAAATGCATGTTCCCTGAGATTACACAAATAATATTTTCTGAATTTATTGCTAGAGATACTTTGTTAAGCCTGCTAAGAAAATCATATGTTTGACAGTAGATAATTTTAGAAATAGGCACTCAGGCTTACACGCTCACAGTATTATACGTGGTAATTCTTTATAACTCATTACTTTGCAAGTTGTAACTAGACCTGCTGAAAATGGCTCTGAAGTGGTCACTCTGAAACACATAGACATCTCACAGGGACAGGTTCAGGAACTGTGCTGCCATGTCTTCCCAGGCAGCCATCCACTCCTGGTGGAGAAATTACACCAAGTATTTATTCTGTTAGGATTGAGAGATACTAAGTTCATAACAAGGTTCCTTTCTGTGATCTCTTATTTTCCATCAATATACTGTTTATTTTTACTGAGAATTTTAATTATAAACCCCTACTTAAAGATAAATTCAAACAATCTCTCATCCATTATAAACAGTTTATTATATTAACTAATTAACTAAATAGGCATTTAATGATTTTGGGACATCCTCTTTGAGACTCTAGTGCAAAATTCAATGAAATTCATGTACTTAAGAAATATGAGGGAGCCTAGCAGTAATCATTTGATTAAATTTCAGTAAGGGTTATGTGGAGATAAATTATGTAAGCTGAGAGAGTACAGGGGATAAGTGCCTAGTTCAGATGCAAGAACCAGAGACATTTTCCTAAACCAGTATATGCCTTTGTTGAGTTTGACAACAGGGCTGAAGGGAGAGAGTGTTTCTAAATAACTCCTTGTTACAAGATTATCATACCTTTGAAATGGCAAATAAACCTGTATGGAGAGAAAGGGTGAAAGGTGTTTGAGAAAGGTGGAAACCTGTGTTTGCGTTGACAGGTTGGGGAGTTCAAACTATAAAGAACAGAATCACTAAAGATGCT